GATTATAAGTATTAATATTAGTAAAATCATTTATGCCTAATTTTATTTTATAATTTCATACATCTGTGTGTTGCAGTGAACATACTAAATGTGCCCTTCTGGCTGATGATCTTAATTGGGGCTTATTTTAAGGGCCAGGCTTATATTAGGGCATCATAAAAAGTCATTCTGGGGCTTATTTTGTGTGTAGGTCTTATTTTCAGGGAAATGTGTATAGTCTTTAAAAAATAATCCATTTGTATCACTATTTTAATGTCCCTTTTGCTTTCTTTCTTATTTTCTTCCCTAAATGTAAAGCCTTAGCATTGGACAGTATCTTACAAGTTCAGTTAATATGACTTAATTGGAAGAAGCCTTTCTCAGGCATCCATGACAGATGGACAGTCAGGTTCTGAGTGAATATTTTTAGTGATACCAGCCACGCTCCTTATCTGCTACTTTCACGTTTGTGGATTCAACCAACTGTGCATCAAAAATAATAGAAAAAAATTACATTTGAACAGAATAAGTGCTGATTTTTTGTTATTATTCCCTAAACAGTATAGCATAACAGCTGCATACATGACATGTACATTGTGTAAAGTGTACTATAAGTAAACTAGAGATGATTTAAAGCATATAGGAAGGTATGTGTAGTAGGTTTTATGCAAATACTATGCCGTTTCATATGAGGGAGTTGACTGAATTTTGGAGTCTATGGGAGATTCTGAGGGACCAATCACTGAGGGACAGCTCTAATCTCAGTTCTTAAAGCACTGCATTAAATTATTGGATATCCCTACTTACTAGGAATTTCCTTGTATTTTAGTGAAAACTGTCTTTGTAATTTCCTTGAACTAATGATTCTGCCTTTGGCAATCACATAGAACGTAGCAGCTCTTGAAATTTGTGCAGGCAAAAGTCACATCCTTCTTAAGATTCTTTTTTTAGGCTAAAAATAGCTATATGACATACAGTAGTCTTGATTCCCATTGTCTTTTATTTTTTGTTTTTCCCAGAATCTATTCTCCTTAAAGTAAACTGCCTAGAACTGAATGTAAGATTTAGGATTCAGTGTCAATACTGTGAACAGAGAGGTTGTGAGTTTCTACCATATTCTAGAATGAAAGTAAAATCTAAGAAGTCAGAAGCTATTCTTGTCTTTCTTACTACTGTAGCTACCACTTTTCATAATGCCTAGAACATTGTAATGTTCTCAAAATATACAGTAATGAGTCAAATGGGTCCTCTGCTCACTATTCTAGAAATGTGGGTAAATATAACTGTTTTAGAATTTTATTTCTATGGGGGCATGTTAGTCAAGACTTAAAATCTTTTTTTATGAATTATCAAATTTGATAACCTCCAAGAATAAGGTTTGGTGATGTAAGCAAAAGCCAGATAACATGAGTAGTTGAAGTGAGAAGTAGAGACTTGCACAAACATGATAGCAGTAGAGATGAAAGTGGAGTGGTTCTAAATATATATTAGATGACTAACAGATTTGATTGGGAAGGGAAATAGAGAAAGCTAAGGCAAGAATAGTACTTAGGTTTATAGTTTGAGGTACTAGATGGTAGGTTGAGTGAGTCATTTACTGAAACAGGAAAAACAGATTTAATGGTTTAATTTTGGAAGTATTTTGAGATACCTGTGAGATAGCCATCTCTGGTGTCTGTTTTGGTTTCATTGCTGAGTGTCTTTTTTTTAAAATTTTGAGACAGGATCTCACTGAGTTGCTAAATTGCCCACAATGAGCTTAAACTTGTGGTCTTCTCTCCTTATCATCCCTGAATGCTGGTACTGCAGGTGTGCACCACCACCCGGACCTGAGTGTCTTTAACTAAACCATATCAGAGTGGGCTGATGGAGTTGTGTCACATAAATATCTTTAGGATCAAGCTTGAAAATGCCTTGAGTTAATGAGAGGCGTTCTAATAGGAATAAGCTAGAGAAACTAAGGGCATCTGTAAATTTTAAGCCTTCATTGCAAGGCTTTTCATATCCTCTGCCCAGTATTAGTTTCAACTTCTCTAGGGATTCCCTTTATGAATAGTCACTGATAACCTGAATTTACCCATGCATTGGAGTTTTTAATCTGTTTTTTTTTTGTTTTGTTTTGTTTTTTTTTTTTTTGTTTTTTTTTGTGCAAATGGGGATTGAACTCGGGCCTTTGCACTTGCCAGGGAAGTGCTTATTCTACTGAGCCA